AGCCCGCAACCCGGGCATGTGCCCTGACCGGAATAGAACCCCGATCGCCTGGATCCTAGGTCGACGCTCAACCGCTGAGCCACGCCCGGCAGGGCTGAATTAGTCACTTTAAAATGGCTAATACTGTTATGTGAATTTCACCTCAATAAAAAAATAACATGGTGGTCAGGGCAGGCCTCTGAGAAGCTGACCATTCAAGATCTGAGTGAGGGAAGGGGCAGCATTCAGTCTCCCTCCAGGCAAACTCCTCCCTGCATCCTGGGAACGCTCCCTCGGTTAATGCGGTCACCAAGAGTCCCACTGGATGGTCTGCACTTGGAGAGGGTCTGTCCTGCTCAGTTCATATTAGTTAGGGCTTGACCCACTGATCAGCTGGTGAATGAGAATGCCCCCGTCCCTGTCCCTGTCAGACCTGCAGAAGCACCCTGGGTCCAACAGCCTCAATAAACAGAGCTGGCAAAGTCTGAGAAGGAGGTGTAGGTGTGGAGAAATGGATGCTAGAGGAAGAAAGCATAAGGTATTGCTTACTTGGGAGCAGTTTCCCAGCCTCAGCACTACTGAAATCTGGGGCTGGATCATTCTCTGGGGTGAGGCGTCCTGTGCACTGTAGGATGCTGAGCAGCATCCCTGCTTCCACCCACCAGATGCCAGTAGCGCCCCCTCCTCTCCAGTTATGACAACCAAAACTTATGACAACTAAAAATCATCTCCAGACATTTCCAAGTGTCTCCTGGGAACACCGAAATCCACTGCTGTGCAGAAGGATCAGCTAGAGTGTTGTGGTAAACTTGGCCATTTAAACTGCTGCCCTCTTCTAGCTTTCTCCCTTGGAAACTTAACTGGTTTCAGTCTCCTCTTTGGCTCTAGAGTTAGGTTCATCTTTTTGGAAGTTCCACAAAACCAAGGGATCTTACAGGCCGGAGGAGTTGGAGCATATACCCACTTTCCAGGTGGAAAAACAGAGTCTGAAACAGGAAACCTGGGAGTAAAAGTCTACTTAAGTCAGGAAAACCAGGCCTTCTTTGCCACCAGCTCCAGCCTTTGCCTCCAGCTGAAAGCAGCTGAGTTGCACTCCATGCACACTCTGAAAAGCAAATCTGAGACTCAGGGCAATTTGAGGAGCCAACAAAAGCCAGCCTTGCCGACGATCGGCTCTGATTGGCTTCCTGCCTCCGAGCTGACAGTCATTAGGAGCACAGAGAACAAAGCTGGGTGCTGTTGCACAAATACTCCATTCTGCCTCACCCTGCAGCCCGGAAAATAAGAGACAATATTTGTACACAGAGAAGCAATGCCAAGCCCTTCCCTAGCCTCCCCTTGCCGAGGCCTCTGAAATCATGATTTGAATCTGATGATTTCCCTTCCCTGCCAGCTAGCTTCCTGCTTACTTCTGCATTAAGCTTCCTTCTCACTCCTCTGGCCCCCTGGCCTCCTGCCCCCAAACAACTGGGATGTGACTTCCTTCGCATTAGATTCAAGCTGAGGTTCCAGGAAGCGTCCCAGAAGGCGGCCGGCAAGCAGCACTGGGGTGGGCTGCGTTATCAGGGTTTCAGGTGCGGTGTTGCCTGGATTCCAGACCCAGAGCTCGCGGGGTAAGGCGATGAAGCCTTAGTCAGCACACCGGCAGATGAACGAGGCCGCCTCTTCCTCCCTTATTTGTGTGTTTTGGTTATTGTCAGACACGGCTACACCAGCTATCAAATGTCATCTCCCTCCCCTCCACCCACCCACCCACAGACCCTGCTAATGTCCACAGACATGCCCCAAAAGGGAACGTGCAACATCGACCTCAGACTCCTGTGGTTCAAGGACCAGCAGGATCAGCAGCACCCACTGAAATGCAGAGTCTCAGACCCTGGCCGACCTGCTGAGTCAGAAGCTGCATTTTAGCAAGAGCTTCAGGGGATCTGTGTGCACAGTAGAGCTGCCTTCTATCTATTTCAGGGGCAGGAGGAGCCCAGGTAATTGTGGCTTTGAGTCATCCCAAAAGAAGTGGGGGCCTTTCTTTCCTCCCCAAGCTTTCTCCTCCATGCTCTGGCCCCAGGTGGAGTTCAGCACTCCTGGTCTTCTGCTACCACTCAGGCAAGGGAGCTCATAAGAAACCCAAGCTTTTGATGAAACAAGAGCAATGCTGGAATAAGACGAATAAGCAAAAAGAAAAGTAGAACTTCACGTGGAAGCAGTCACTGCCTCCCCCTGGCTCCCATTTCACTCAGAAGACGACTCAAGTCCTCCTGGCAGCCAGCAGGGCCCTGCATGACCTGCCCCATCACCCCCCTGCCCTCGCCTTCTCCATTCTCCCCACTTACTCAGCTGCAACCACAATGGTCTCCGGGTTCTCCAAACACACCAGGGCCTTTGCATCTGCTATTCTCACTCCTGGGTGCTCTTTTCCCAGAGACCTACATGGTTCCCTCCCTCACTTCCTTTAGGTCTTTACTCAAAGGTCATATCCTCAGTGAGGCCTTCAACCCCCTTCCCCTGCTTCATTCTTTCCCTCGGTCTTTGTCCCCAAATATCCCCTACAGTTTTCTTCTTTATCTCTTTCACTGCTTATCTCCCCTAATAGATTGTAAGCTCTACGCAAGCAGGGGTTTCTGTCTACTTTGTTCACTGCTTTGGTCTCAGCACCTAAGAGCACATATGTTATATATGATAGTAGTTGCTCAATAAACACCTGTATGAGAAAGAAGGGTGGGCAGGTCCTGCTTTCTGCACCTCTTCCCCAACTCCCTCTCATGCCAAGTCTCTGTGGGCAAGTTAAAGATACAATCAACGCCTTAAAATAAACAATGACGTGGCTGGAGCACAGACACAAAGATGGGGTACTGCCATGTCCCATGCA